CTGGGTGGCTCTGGGCCCAGGAGACGTGCTGGGGATTGGATCTAAAGCTCAGTTGGCCCCAGATGATCTTGACTGCATGCGCTTGCCCCAGGAGAATGGGGTCCTCAGAGTGCCGTGCTCAGACTCCCTGGGAGGACATTTGCGGCCAAGCCTAGGTGGGACCCCTTGGTCCACGCTGTCACCACTAGAGGGCGCCAGCTATTGCCCAGGTGAGCGTGAGGGGAGGTTCCTTTCCTGGCTTCCGGAGAAACAGAGGGGGCTCCCAGGTCTGGAAGCTGCCCCCTCATGGCTCCAGGGAGCCCCTGTCACCTTCTCGCGTCTCTCTGCTAAGGTGTCCCTGACCCTTCTGCCTTAGTTCCTGCTTCGCTCAGGGAGTCAGCTTTCGTCAGCGTGGGTGACAGGAAGCCTGGGGTCTCCTTACTGACCCGCCTGCTTCTGCTCTGCCCGCCCCCAGCGCCACTCACAGATGTGCTGGCCTGGGCTCCTTAATGCCCCCCCCCTCACGTGGCCACAGTGCTGAGGCGATACCAAGCACCGGATCGTCACCGCTGTCACCTTCTCTCAGCCTCTTCACAGCCCCTGGTGGGAGGGTGGCCCAGTTCGGGAGATTACTAACTGGGCCCAGGAGGGCAGTGCCCTGGGCCACACAGCCTGCCAGTGAGCCCCAGGGGCCTGGGAGGAATTGAAGTCCTCTCTGGGCAGGCTGAGGGCGTGAGGGCCCTGGAGGGAGCGCCCCCATACTCCTTTCACACTGTAGCCCCCCTTCTCCATTTCTCCAGCTTCATCTCCCCCTGGCCTCCAGTCCGACTCACCGGCTGCTCAGCCAGGTTTCTCCTTAGATCCTGCCACCTTCCCTCCCCCACCCAAGGGCCCGCCTGCCTGCCACCCTCCCCAAGCTGAGCCCCTTGGCTCTGGCCACTGAGGGCCTGGCCAGGGTCCCAGGCACCACACCACAGCGGCCAGCCTTGCCTGGCCAGAGCTCAGGACAGTCCCAGTCTGTCTGGCAGGGCTACGGGTTCAGGATTGGCTGGAGCTGCCCCCGCCTTTGGGAGGAGGGAGAGGGGAGGCTGGTGGCTTGTTCAAGGTCACCCTCCTTTTCTCTCCCAGCATCCCTGTTCGACCTTCGTCCCCTCTGCCTCACCTAGAGGAGTCAGGAGGCAGGATGCCCAACACGCAGAGGACAGAGGAGCCCAGCGAAGAGGAAGGCTTTTGGGGCTTCTGGCATTTATTTATTCAGCAAATTTTGAGTGCCTCCTATATGCCAGGCACTGAGAACACAGCAATGAACACAGTGGACCCAGTCCCTGCCATGCCTCCCAGCAGGGAGACAGTCGAGAAATAAACAATCACACAAATAACGTAAACTGGTGTCCCCAGCAGTGTGGCAAAGGCTCTGAGCACCTTGGTCTGGCTTCCCGGGGGATCTCAGGGGTGAGAAGCCCTGTCTGGCCCAGGGGTGGGGTGGGGGGGAGTCGGGGGCGGGAGGAAGGCTTCAGACACAGCTAGGGGCGTTGGCTTTGGGGAGGCCTGTGCGGGGGCTCGGCCAAGCCTCAGTTTCCTCAACTGGAAAACGCAGGAAGTAAATGTGCCCGGGTCACGGGGTTGCTGCCCCGAGGCCGGCAGCCCCCCAAAAGCAGGCACTGGCATCCTCCCTGAGGAAGGCCGAGGGGGAGCTCCTCAGTGAGGACGGCGGGGAGGGCACTCCCGGAGGCTGGCAGTAGCTCACAAAGCTCAGAGGTGGCCTCAGGGAGGTGAGGGACCCCAGTACCAGTGCTGTACTACTGAGCTTCCCTGGCCCCTCTGCCTAAGGCCGGAGGGGAGGGGCTGGTCCCTGGCTGCCTCCTTTCTCTCCCCTCCCACGCCTCCTGTTCTGGGCCACGTGGCACCTCGGTGCCCCTGGCCTGGGGGAGAATGATTTCCGACCTGGGGCTGGGGGAGCGAGGGAAAAGTGGGTGGCACGTGGGGTACCGCTGAGACCAGGTCCTGTGGCGCACCGGGTCCATCCCGCCCCACAGCCCCAGGGCAGGGAGGGGGTGCTGTCTCTTTAAGAGCCTTCAGGCTGCTGGGAGCAGATGGCCAGGCCGGCCGGGGCCCCTTGTCCTTTGTGTGGCTTTGCACAAAAGAGGGGGCCAGCTGGGGAGGGGGCGGCTGCAGCAGGTGGGAGGGTGGGGCCTTGCCCCTCCCCCTCCTAACCCTGCGCCGCTGCCCCTTGGGGAGGAGGTTGCTCACTAGGAATGTGCCTCCTCTCTCTCCCTGGACACTGTGGACCCGAGTCATCCCCAAATTCCTAGGATACCCCTCCCATGTCGCGTCCCACCTCCTAGGCGGAAGCCTCATCACACCAGGGCCTAGGGACTCCCCCCCTCCTCTCTACGCCAAGGAATAAGCCTCCCCTCCCTGCCCCCTCCTCCAGAGCAGAATCTTCCTCTGGCCCTGAGCTCCAGGCCCTAGGGAGAAGTGAGAACAGAATTAGGTTCTTATTGGGGGGAGGGGTGCTAAGGAAGGAGGGACGCCTGGGGCTGGGGGTACCTGGGGGCAGCCCAGGAGGAGGGAGCCCAGAATAAGCATGATGCTGAGGCCTGGGGGTGGGGTGAGGTGCTGGGCCCTGGACCCTAAGCATGAGGATGGAAAAGTGGCAAGGGGGAAAGGGGGGACCCAGCTGAGGCCCTGCCTCAAGAGGGGCTGGTGTGGGCAAAATGGAAGACTCCATCATAGGAGAGGGCTGTCAGCAGCGATGGCTGCCTGCCAGGCAGGAGGGGACAGAGATGAGAGGCTCCCTGAAGACTGGAGGTTCTGGGGGCAGGGTGGCTACTCAGAAGGAGTAAGGCTGCGGAGGCTCTTTTCCATTTGTAGCAGAGCCCTTAGCTCAGACCTGCCCTTGGCCCACTCGTTCTCCTCTATCCAGACCTCCCCACCCTGGGGCTTGGTGCCCAATCCATGATTTAAGTGGAGGAAAAAGGCCCCATAGCTCTGACCGGAGGTGTGGCGGGCAACGTGGCTGCCGGCTGGGTGGCCCCAGTGTGGCCCCATGTGGCCCGACAGCACCGCAGCCGGGTGGGGTTGTGCCTGACTTTGCCCGGCCGCCCGCAGGAGCCCCCAGGACCAGGAGGCCCCAGCCGGGTCGTGGCCCGACCGCAGGACCCCGGCCGGCTGGCCGCAGGCAGCGGGTGGGGGCGGGGATCCATCCCTGGCTGGGCCCTGGGTTGCTTCTAAATTTAGGAATCTGATTACTGAGTGGCCGAGGAAGGGAAGGGAGAGGAGGGTGCGAGCGCAAGCTCGGCTCAGTCTGGGCACAGCGGGGCGTGCCCGGGTGGAGGTGTGTCTAGAAGTCTGGGGCTCGGGTGGGAGGGGCGACGGGTGGGAGGGGGCTTCGGCCTGTGTGCGCGGCAGCACGTGCCTGCGGCGGCGGGGACGGGCACCCGCGCAGCTTGTCGCCGGTGTGTGTGTGTGCTGGCTCTTTGTGTGCCTGGCAGGGTGGCTGGGTCTGGCTTTGAAAGTCTCTGCCCACCCCCCTCCCCCATCTCCGTCTGTGCCGCTCTACCCGCTTCCCGGTCTGTCACTCTGCCCGTGCTCGTCCTGGGGGAGGGGGATGCTGCTCCCAGCTGGGGTGACAGTGAACCCAGTAGGGAGGACACCCAGCTTCCCCCTCACCCTGCAGTCCAGATCTTGCCCGACACTTCCCACTCCCCATCACGCAACCCCTTGTGCCACTGTTTTGGGGTGCGCGCTGCAGCAGTTAAAGGGAACTGAGGTGACCCCTGGGGACCCACAGATGCACCAGAAGCCAGGCTTTGGCCCGGTAGCTCTTGGAGGAATTCATTCCTCGCCTGTCCGGCCTCCCATCCGCTCTGGCCCCCAAGGGCGCATGAAGGGGGGGGGGTCCCCCCTGCGGAAGGGGGGCGGGGAGTTCCTTGGCAGGAAGGGAAATGGAAGGAAAAGCTGGGCTCCACCCGGGCGGGCGGGCAGGCGGCCTCGGGGCCCCCGGGGCAGGCGGCGGTAACCCGAGCCCACTGGTGTGTGGGGCTGGTGTGCGCCTGGGTGGGGCTGACCCCCGGCTACTCCTCAGGGGTAGGGGGTGGTCTCCCCCAGGGGCAAGTCTGGGAGCTCGGGGGGCCCGCAGAGGAAAGCGCTCTCCACCCGGGTCCTGACCCCACCCCCTGGAGGTCTAGCCCCGGCCCCCAGGCCCCGCCCCCCGGGCCCTCCCTTCCACCCCAGGGCCAGATGTTCAGCTGGCGGAGGCATCGGCTGGGGGAGGGGTGCTGAGGCCGCAGCCGGCACTACTTCCCTGCCAGCAGCTTCATTGTGTGCGCGAGGAGCGAGCGGCGGCGGAGAGCGGGCGAGCGAGCAGCAGCCCGAGCGCGCCGTGGAGAGCGAGCGCGCCGGGGAGGGTGCGAGGCGGCGCCCGCGGCTGCGCTCCCCCGCCTCCCGGCAACTCTGCCCCAGCACCGCGCGCCGTGCGCGCCGTCCCGCCGCCGCCGCCAGCGCCGGGGCCCCGCCGGCTGCCGTCGCAGGCAGGGGTCTGGTCCGGGCAGGGGTCCCCTCCCGGGGACTGGGGCATCCTGGTGCAGCCGAGAGGCGCGGAGCCCGCCGGGGGCGGCAGTCGCGCCGCAGCGCCCGCTCGCTGAACTGCGTGGGCAGGCGGGCATTGGGGCTCCAGGGCGCTCCGAGGGCAGAGTGCCCAGACTTCTCCGGGGAGCCCCAATTCCGTGGAGCGTCCAGAGCGAGCGCACCCCGGCCCCACCGGACCTTGCGCTCATCCCCCGCGTACCCCACTTCTACACAAACTTTTCTGACACCCTCACCCGGGGGGGTCGCGGAGAGCGCTGGGCTGCCCGCTGGGCTCCTGCCCCGCCGGACCCTAGCCACGCTTGACCTCCTGCCTCTCGTAGCCTCAGTGGCGACCTCTCCAGGCCGGGCCGGGCACGGCACCCCGGGCGAGCGCGGCAACGACCGCTGCACTCCGAAGGCTCCCGCGCCCCCCGGGGCAGCTGGGCGGGGTAATGCCCTCGGTGATGGAGAAGCCGAGCGCGGGCTCCGGGATCCTGTCCCGCAGCCGGGCCAAGACGGCGCCCAACGGCGGACAACCCCACTCGGAGGATGACAGCAGCGAGGAGGAGCACTCGCACGGTGAGCCCGGAGGCCTAGGGTTAAAGGCGCACCGGCCCGGGGGGGCGCGGAGCAGGGCGTGGGGGAGAGTTGCCGACCACGGGGGTATTATACGGATGGTTCCTGCCTTGCCTGGATTGGAGCCTGTGCCTTCCTTCTCCTCCAAGCCGGCACAGGGAATCTGGAGGCTGGGCCCCTAGCTGCCGAGGAGGCGGTCCTGCCTGCCCCCTCCCTAACCTCAGTCCCCGAGGGACTCAGGCGTCCCTCCCTTTCACAGCTTGGGCTCCTCGTACCCTGCCACCTTGCAGGGGACTGAGGTCTGACTGGGGCAGGAGCTGGAAAGACACCTCCACGCCGAGCTGTGGGGCTCCTGTGGTGGGGAGGAGCCTTGGATTCTCTGCAGGAGGGCTGTGGTCCAGGTCTAGGGGCAGCCCTCCAACCCCCCCCAACCCCCCCCCCCCGGCCCAGCCCCTAGCAACCACCAATCTATGTTCTGTCTCTGTGGATTTGTCTATTGTGGATATTTCATATAAATGGAATCATATAATATGTGGCATTTTGTGTCTGGCTTTTTTCACTGAGCATAATGTCTTCAAGGTTTACTCTTGTTGTCCCCCCCCCCCCCGTCAGAACAAAGGGCTCTGCTGGGCCTGGGCTTGAAAACTGGCCCCTGTCCTCTCCCCCACCCCCCATGGCTATGGCTAGGCAGGTCTCTCCCTTTTCCAGTTCCTTCTGTGACTGAGGGTAACTGAGGGGAAGATCAGGGAAAAGTGAGCCTCCTGGAAGATGGGGGCCCCGGGTGGTCAGGAAGAACTCCAGGCCAGCCACCTCCCCTGCCACATCCTCCCGTCCTCCCTCCCTCCCTGGAGTCCTGACTGCCTCCCCCCACCCCCCACCGGCTCCACAGACAGCATGATCCGCGTTGGAACCAATTACCAGGCCGTAATTCCGGAGTGCAAGCCTGGTGAGTGGCAGGACAGGCTGTGAAGGGAGGGGACTGGAGGGCCCATGGCTTGGCCCTGAGCCCCACCTGGGGGAACCCTTGGCTGGCGCCCACTGTAAGGACAGGCGGGGGTGGGTGGCCGGCCCTGTGTCATGGTTAGTTTTCCTGCTCTGCCTTCCTGTCTGGGTCTCTGTCCCTCCTTCCCCTCTGGGCCTCACCTCGCGGGCCCCACTCCTCCGCTGCCCTCTGGCCGTGGGTCCAGGCCAGCGCCACCAGGCTGATGATGTCTTCCCTCCTCTGCTCCGTTGCCTTTCAGAGAGCCCCGCGCGCTACAGTAACAAGGAGCTGAAGGGGATGTTGGTGTGGTCACCCAACCACTGTGTGTCAGATGCCAAGCGTGAGTGGGGTGGGACCCTGGGCTCATGCATACCCTTGGGAGCTGGGGCCTGGGGTTCATGCCAGCTGGCAGCCAGCTCTTCTCAGAAGTGGGCTGGAGGCTGAGGTATGTGGGTTCAGCCCCTGCCCTGGGGCTCAGGCTCAGGGGCCTAGCCCCTGGGGGCATACCCCTTTCCGGGCAGGCCTGGCTTAGGGGTTGTAACCCCTCCTCCAAGACCCGGCTCCTCCCGCCCCTGCAGTTGACAAGTACATTGCGATGGCCAAGGAGAAGCATGGTTACAACATTGAGCAGGTGAGCCTCGGCCCCGCAGGGATCTGGGGTGGAGACCGGACAGTGCTGCGGGCAGCTGAGCCTGAGTGGTCCGCTCTCTTGGGCCAGGCGCTGGGCATGCTCCTGTGGCATAAGCACGACGTAGAGAAGTCGCTGGCTGACCTGGCCAACTTCACCCCGTTCCCGGACGAGTGGACAGTAGAGGACAAGGTGCTGTTTGAACAGGCCTTTGGCTTCCACGGCAAATGTTTCCAGCGGATCCAGCAGATGGTAAAGCCCTCCACCCCCGCCAGTGCTCCTTGGCCCCTTCTTTCTGTCAAGCCTGCCCGAGGCCCAGAGTCTTAGGTGGGCCCCAGCCTGTGGCGTTGCCCCTCCAGCTGCCTGACAAGCTGATTCCCAGCCTGGTGAAATATTACTACTCTTGGAAGAAGACCCGCAGCCGGACCAGTGTGATGGACAGACAGGCTCGGCGGCTGGGGGGCCGGAAGGACAAAGAAGACAGGTGGGGGGCCCGGGGGGGCTCTGGGTGGGGGTAAACTGAGCTCCTGGGGGCCCTGGCCCCTGCCTTACCCGGCCTTGGCCCCCGTGTAAGCAGTGATGAGCTTGAAGAGGGACGAGGAGCCGTGAGTGAGGGGGAGCCGGACGCTGGAGACCCCACGAGAGAGGTGAGGTCCCAGAGCTCCTCTGGCCCTGCCTGCCTGCCCGCCCGCCCTCTCCTTGGGCTCCGCACCACCCACCTCCTCTCTTTTCCCTGGCAGCCTCTGCCCTCTCGGCCCCTGAATGCCCGCCCAGGTCCGGGAAAGAAGGAGGCCCAGGGGTCTCAGTACCGCCACCATCCGCTGCGAACTCGGCGGCGCCCTCCCAAGGGCATGTACCTGAGCCCTGAGGGCCTCACTGCCGTGTCAGGGAGCCCGGACCTTGCCAACCTCACACTTCGAGGCCTCGACTCCCAGCTCATCTCCCTCAAGCGCCAGGTGGGGGGCCCGAGGAAAGAAGGGGCCAGGCAAAGGGGACAGTCGGCAGCTGGGAACTATGACTGGGGGCAGCTGGAGACGTAAGGGAGGTCGTGTGGATTGCCAAGCCTGCCTCTGCCCCATCCTCTGGGCTTCTGGGTAACTTAGCGTTCTTTGCTGGACATTAAAAAGACAAACCAACCAACCTGGTCTTTGAAAAGGGGCAAACCCCAGTGTCTCCCCTACTGAATGGTTGTGAGGGAGAGATGAGGTAGATGGTGGGTAGCAAAGAGCTTTGCTGGGCAGTAGGGCCCTGGTGAGGGTTGGTGTTGATGGCCTCCCTGGCTTGGAACTTGATGTCCCTTCCTTGCCTTGCCTTCCCAGGTGCAAAGCATGAAGCAGACCAACAGCAGCCTCCGCCAAGCCCTGGAGGGGGGCATCGATCCACTCCGCCCCCCTGAGGTGAGGCTGCTCTTCAAGTCTGGGTGAAGGAGGGGGTCCTTTCTGGTGGCACAGCAGAAAGGGGAGTTTTCCTTGGGTAGCAGGGTCTCTGTTCCCACATTTCTGAGTCTCAAGGATATATACTCCTTGCTCCCCAGGCCAACACCAAGTTCAACTCCCGCTGGACCACGGATGAGCAGCTTTTGGCAGTACAAGGTGGGTGAGACTCGCGAGAATAGAGGGCCCCAGGAGGCTCTCCCCCGTGGGCTGGAGCTCCAAGGAGCTGGGGCAGAGGGGAAGGATCAGGGAAGTAACTAGTTCTAAGGGGGTATTCACACCTGCTGCCCTTTTGACCCTTGCAGCCATCCGTAGGTATGGCAAAGACTTTGGGGCTATTGCAGAGGTGATTGGGAACAAGACTCTGACCCAGGTGAAGACCTTCTTTGTGAGCTACCGGCGCCGCTTCAATCTGGAGGAGGTGCTGCAGGAATGGGAGGCCGAGCAGGATGGGGCCCCTGGAGCCCCCCCGGTCCCCATGGAGGAGGCTAGGAGAGGGGCTCCCTTGCCACCCCCAGCCCTGGAGGAAGATGATGAGGTGAGAAGGGGGGAGAGAGCGAAACGCTTCAGAGAACAGAGGAGAGGAACTGCCTCCGTCCTTAGACTGGGCCGAGGGTGTGCTTGAGCCTGGTTTCTCACTCTTCTCTCGCCCCTCTCAGGTCCAGATTACATCTGTGTCGACATCAGGACCCCGATCGGGGCCCCCTGCGCCGCCCCCTCCTCCACCTCCCACCTCGCTGTCCCAGCCGCCGCCACTGCTGAGGCCACCTTTGCCCACGGCTCCCACCCTGCTCCGCCAGCCACCCCCACTCCAGCAGGGCCGCTTCCTCCAGCCCCGGCTGGCCCCCAACCAGCCCCCACCACCTCTCATCCGCCCTGCCCTGGCTGCCTCCCGCCACGGTGCCCGCCCCGGCCCTCAGCCCGCACCCCCTCTGGCTGGAGCCCCCCTGGAGCCTCCAGCACCCTCGCTCTGAGCCCCGAGGCCCTCCGCCAACCGGAGGCTCCAGAACCCCTTTGCCGGACGTCCTCGGGGACCTCCAGCTTCACTGAGGACAGAAGAGACTAGAGCTCTCGCCAGGTCTTTCGAAGACCCAGCGCTGCCGACGGGGGTGGGGGTGGGGGTGGGGGGGCGCACAGCCTGGACCCCCGCGGGTTCTGCACGTCTTTCTGGCAGCCAGCCTGTCTCCACCCCCACCCCAGCCAGGGTCTGGGGCCTTCTGAGCTGGCCCGAGGGTACTTTTCCTGGCTGGGACTGGAATGGCTGCCTCCTAGTCTGCCAGGGCGTGGCCTAGGGGTCCTGCCCTTCGTGTGTAGGGGGTAGTGACCATAGCCTGCGGGGGGCGGAGAGGACAGTTTAGTGTGTTGGCTGTTCTTCCTCTTCCCCTTCTTTTAGCAATAAGTCTGGGGTGAGGTGGGGAGGGAGCTGGAGGGGGGAAGTGGGCAGAGGTTCCTTGGGGCCTGACAGCATCAGAGGCTGAAGAGGCAGCTCTCCGGTCTTCAGGGGGTCTTCAGGGGGCCGGGTGGAAAGTGCTGAGGAGCCCTGAGGGTGCCCACTGTGCCCACCGCCCAAAAGCTTAGAGAAAGGAGGGTTGGGAACATATGCAGACATGGGTTTATTTTTCAATGTTTTTTAAAAATAAATAAAACCTTCAAGCTCACTGAATCCTCTTTCC